AAGAAAGAATGAAAGAAAGAAAAAAGAGAAAGAGAGGAAGGAAGGGAGAAAGGAAATGAATACGAATTTCGGAAGCAGAAATAGATAAAGCAATTCTCCTAGAAGGCAGTAAAAATGAAAAATCAAGCCAGCAGGTGGCATGGAGGTTAAGCAGTTGGATTTCACAGGCCCCCAAAGCGGTCTACTTCCTAAATCTCGTGGCTTGAAATCATGTCGTGCACTTGTGTGTGCTCTAAGTCCCAAGAGGAGAATGGAAGAGGAGGTATTTCTGTGTGGCTGTTCCCCCAGGGGGTGATTTCTCTTTCTTACTTGCCGTCTCTCTCTCGTTCTCTCTCAAGTGAGCACACAGACCTTAAAGCAAAAAAAAAAAAAAAATTAAATAAAAACCAACTTTCAAAAATTTTTAAAAGGCTAAAATATGTTAAAAATAGAGCTAGAAGTTTTCATATAAGAAGAAACATTTGAGGAATAGGGAAAATGTCTAGTATAATGAAAAGATGAATGAACACAAGAAAGAGAAATTGGAACAGCAACTCGGAAACTAAAATCTAGTTAATAACACAGTTGTGGATGTTTAAGGTGTTTTCAGAAAATAAACTAAGAGAAAGTTCACATGAATTAGGGAAAAAGATGAATATTAACAATAGACACGATAGAAATAGTAAAACACAAAAATTAGATAATTGGTTATGGGTAATAATAAGAAGAAAAATAGATATGTTTTATTTAAATTACTATCAAATAAAAGCTAGAAAGAAGAAACTGCTTTAAAAATAACTTTAAAAAAGTATGCATGAAGAGGATCAGGTTCCTTTCCTGGCCTAACCTTAAAAGCCAGATGGCCACATTGTAATCCCTTATCCTTCATTCTTCTGTTGGGATTTCAGACAGCTGACATGATTTTTAAGCCCCCAGGTCTGGGACTCAAACCACGATAGACCATGTGGAAGTGTAGTGCCTTAACCACCATACCATCCACTGCTCCAAAGTTCAGTGTACTTTTCAAGCAATAATGTGTCTCAGATTTTCAGAGGCTGCAGGATAATTTTAAAGTGTCAAAATGGTTGTTTTGGTTAATTTGTCTGATTTTGTAGTTGATTTGGGGTGAGAGATTTGCTGACCTTTTCATTCATCCATAGCCTTAAATATACCCCTCTGCGCAGTTTTATTAGATTTCCAAATCAAACAGTAATAACTAAAATAAAAACATACAGGCTCATTTTGCTTATGAAAATAATTGCAAATATTATAAATAAAATATTATTATACAAATCCAAAAGTGCATTAAAATGCATTATGACTAAGTATGACTTACCCTACAAAATAATAGTATAACACTAGAAAATATATCCAGAAGAGGCCTTGCAGGTGGCATGATGGTTAAAGTCACTGGACTCCTCTCTCTCTGTGTCTCTTCTGGTCAAATTGAAATAACAATATTAATAATAAATAAACTTAAATAAAATATTTTTTAAAAAGATAATACAGGGACTGGCTGTGGCGTGGTGTTTAGGGGTGCTGGACTCCCACATGGTTGACCCCCCACGGTTTGAAGTCCCTGATCTGGCAGCTTGCTTTTTTACTTGCCCTCTCTCTCTCTCTTGCTCTGTCCCTCTCTGGTCAAATTAAATAAGTAAAGTTAAATAACATAATTCTTTAAAAAAAAAGAAAATATACTCAGAAATGTATTATATTAATATGCTAAAAGATAAAAGTCAAGTTATTTTAATAACTGCAAAAAAGGCATTTGATAATGATCAGCACATATTCAACAGATTAAGAATAGAAATCAGGGTCTGCAGGTGGCAAAGTGGTTAAGGTGCTGGACTCCCATATGATCAACCACAGTTCAAATCTTAGACCTGGCAGCCTGAAATACACACGAGGCACATGTGCATGGGTGCCAAAAATTCTAATAGGAGAACTGAGAAGGGATGATGACATGGCAATCCCCATCGGGAGGGGGGGTGATTTCGTGCTTTCTGTCTTTTTGTCTTTCTAGTGAGCACATGTGTCTGTAGCAAAAATCTCTTTAAAATAAATACACAGATGATCTAATCAACTACCAAAAAATGAAAATAGAATGGGCCGTCTACCAGAATTAACAGGAAATAGCATAACACCAAAATGCAGGAATAAATAGAATCTGTCTATTCCAATAATAATTAAATATAAATATCATAAAAACGAAAGCCATTTAAAAATAGCAATAAAATTACAAATTTTCTAGGTATTTGCAGAGTTATAAAAATGTCTGGAAAATGTTGTATAAATTTCATAAAGTTAATGGAAACTATATGAATTAATAACCTACTTAATGCTTTTGAGTAAGACAAGTTAATATTATAAAAAAAAAATCTAGAATACCCACATTAATTTATAAATTCTTTGTTCTTTAATCACATTGGGTTCCCAAATTCAAGTTGGATCTTTTATAAATTAATGACCTTAGAAAGGGGTCTTACCTTACTAGTTTTTAAAGCAATACACCAATCCGAAAAGAACAGTGAACTCAGAAACACACACATACACGCATATGTATTTAATACCCTACAAAGTTGGCAACTTAAATCATGAAAAACATAAGATTAACTAATTTATAAATTATAAATTATAAATTAAAGTTTCCACATGAACCAAAAACATTAGTGTTCTGAAATTGTGGACGAGTAGACTAAATTGGTAGAGATGGAAATGGTGAAGAGGCATCAAATATGTGATATACTATAAAGTCGGTACTAGTAAGTGTTACTACTAGACTTTTAGAGATGGGAAGTGAAAAGATGGCAAACTAATGCAGAAACTGACGATGAAATAGAGGGGATGTATACAGGAGGAAAATTCTTAAATAGGTAGAGCACCTTATTCTCAGAATGAGTAGGGTGTTGATTTTTGATAGGAGAAGCTGCACAGAGAAAGTGGGTTGTTTGCTTTCTTTTATAGAGTATAGAAACACAAGAAAAATCTCAATGTAATTACAGGTGTCTATTCAAACACAGACAAGTAAATATTTAAATAGAAATTATTGAAAGGCACACAGCCAAATATTAACTACCTTAATTTATAAGTAAGTAGTTTCCCAGGCAGAAAAAACATATAGTCATAAAAATTTTATCTAGAGGTAAAAGTTATAACTCCAGTATATAAAATGAATGGAGAAGTATAATATTTTAAAATTTTGTAATGTTTTAAAATTTTCCAAAACTCTTATTTGATTAAAATTTAATCAGTTTGTATCTAACAGAGAAACATCTGACTAGTGATATGTGTATGTGTGTCTGTGTTTCATGATTTTATTTTATTTGTTTGTCATTTTCTTATTTTTTGTGTGTTCAAATGCTGTTGACGTGTCAGTTTTTTATGAAAGGAAAGAGGAGGAAGAGAAGAATGGATCTTGAAGAATGAGGATCTCTCTGAATGTGACAAATAAAGGCAATTTAAAACGTTGCCACTACACTTTTCTTTCCCCCATAGATTTTGTAGAATATCAAAGCAACTCTGTACTACAAATAAAGAATTTGTGATTATTGACTGAGTGGCGATGGTGTTATTGCTTTAAAAGTGAGACTGGCTAGACCCAGGCAAAAATTTTAGTCAACTATGTTTACTGCGGAGGCTGAGGTTCTCAAACATTCCTAAGTAACTCTGCCAAGGAAGACAGTACCTTGGTTAGACCATGGATGTTCTAAGTAATTAGGGTGTGTCTGGCCTGATCATGTTAATTATGTGTCAGAGCCAGGAGAGGAAGAAAAGAAAGAAGAATTTAGAAAAGAAGCTACATAGGAGAGCTGGAGGGATGTGAGTAGTAGTCAGGAGAGCTAGTGGTAGCCCAAGTTTTATCAGTAATCAGCAAGTCAGCAATTTCTACCAATCTGAGCCCACATTTTTAATTTTTTAAATTTTCTTTTTATATTTTATAAAAATAAATTTTTTTTTGTAAGAATAATTTAAAAAACTGGGCCAGTTGGTGGCATGGTGGTTAGGGCAGCTGGATTAGCATGTTTAACTGTGTGGTTCAAGTCCCAGGTCTCACAGCTTAAAAGACACACCAGCAGCATGTGTGTGCATGCCCAAATCTGAGAGAACAATGGAAGAGAAGGGATTGTAGCTTGGTCATCCCCCAGAGAGAGTGCTTTTCCACTTTCTCTCTCTAACTCTCTCCCTCTCTTTTTCTCTCTCTATTGAGTACACATGCCTTAAAGAAAATTTTAAAGTATTCTATGGGTGCATATATACTTATATGTGTATATGATTTCACTTGTTCTTATATATACATATATATGAATATATAAAGCAAAATGGTTGTGTAGTACCCTGAATCTGTGAAGTTTCTTTTTATACCTTTTATTTTACTCTCTTATACTTTTTCACCATAAAATACTTTTCTCAAACAAAGCATTAGCTTGAGCCCCAGTCTGTGAGATAGCTAAAAACAAGCAACTTTATTTGAATTAGATGGGCCCTCTACCTTTTAGAAAAATAAATGCAATAGTAAGGATAAGAGAAAAAGAGAAAGGAGGACATGGAGTGAGTCAAATGGCTGCTAATATATGTTAAACACTGTGACACTTGGTTCTCATTTAATCCACAACCTATTTCAAAGATAAAGAAATTGCAACCCAGAAATGTGTAAACTGCCCCAATTACAGAGACAACAATGATTTGAATTTGGCCCTAACCCCAGCAAGTCTGATTGGCACTAAGAAGGGTAGGAGGAATGATAAATGGCCATGGAAGGCAGAGAGCACCCTGGCTTACTCCACCTCTTAGCGTCTGTCAGTGCTCAAAATGTTTTCAGAGAGTCGGGTCATGGGTTGGGCCTGTGGACAAGATGCACCAGATACTGAGCCCACCCCTGGAATCAGCCATGTTCCCTCCCTTCTAAGTAGCTGGCTTCACAACAGGCATGACCTAGTAGTTAGGAAATAAACAGATAGCTCTAGATAGAGTCAAAATCATCTCAAAAGCAAACATGACAGATAGATGCCAAATATTCTCACCTTTACAGGGGCAGTGGGTTTGGTGGCTCTTGCTAAATGTGTGGCCCTTTTTTGAGATTTTGCTTCCTTTTCTCTGGAAGAGAAGAAGGAATAGGTAGCTTAGACATTGCTTGCTCAACTTTTAGGGAATAACAGACCACATGGTAAACTTTATATTGACTGCTTCCTCAGCTCAATTCGGCGTGTCAAAAGTGGACAGATGTCCAGCAATGAGCACAGTGCTACAAATATCTTCTCAATGCTGGAAAAAAATACCTCACACCTTAGGTACGATATAGACAAGAATCTCTCTAACTGTATAATGAACTACTTCCTGTGAATACTCTGACAATCGGATGGTCACCAATTTTAAAAGCAATCTGTGCCATTATTTGAGAGCACTCATTTAAAGACCATATTCATGTTGAAGCAAAATCTGTCTGCCTGTATTAGTCCTGATTCCAACCTTTAGAGACCCAGAAAGCAAATCAATATTCTCCACAAGGCAGCCCTTCAGCAACATGAACATAGCTTTTATGCTTTACGTAGTCTCCTTTCCAGATAAAGAAACCAAGTTTATTCCAACATAACTTAAATTGGTAATAAAAATAATAATTGAATGAGTGGCTCCAAAGTGATAAACAATCTCATGAACACTAAACCATTTTATTGTTGTTTTAAGTTATTTTTCCAGTGACTATATTATATTCATAATTTTAGTCTTCTGTTATAACCATCCAACAGAACAAGAAGAAAACATCATAGCAAATTATGTACCTGCTCATTTACATTTAGCTTGCAAGAGAATAAGAAAGAATATTCAACCTGCCCCAATCCTACCTCCCCACCAACCCTAAATTTGGCCTGCCCTCCTTCATCTTCCCATAGTCTCTTCCCTAGAAACAGAGCATATGATCAGAGTTTTATTATCCTAATATTGTTGAATATGTCAAATTAAATTCCCTGACACATACCAACCTGATTTTTTAAAAGCCAATTAACACATAATTATATTTGATGGATAAGCTTAATATTGGCTTGGGACTAGAACTGAAGTTTTGATAGTGGCTAAAAATTTACAATGACCTCCTTGCCCTAAAACAATTAGGACACTTTGACTTGAGGATTTACAATGGACAAGTCAACCCTTCCTCTATCTTTGGGGTGTTATTGGTAAGGAGGAAACCAAGTTAGGAAACATTAGATAGATCTTGGTAAACTTTCAGGATATTAATTCTTTCTGAGATCCAGGGTGTTGAAAGTTAAAATCTACCAGTTAGTCTATTTCATCCTATCATAAATCCCGGTTGTCTGAGACACTGGCAGCTCACAGAACCAGGGTGTATCTTGCATGAATTTTCTGCTGCTTGGCTGCCACCACAGTCTGCCATCATTCTCAGGAGGATATTCTTAGTCCCTAAGCTACAACAAAATCAGATCTTAACAGATTCGGGTAGTCAAACTTTCTTTCTTAAATTCTTTTGTTTCCAGAGCCAGGGAACTCAAAATGGAACTACATTTTCAAGAGACTACAGAGTGTACGTAGTAATGCTTGGCCCTGTGGAATGCTTTTAGATCCTATTTGAGTGACTGGCAAGTTTCCAACGTTATCAGATGGAAAGTGTCACAATGATTGCCTAAGCATTTTTATTTAACCATTTAGATTTAGAAAAATGCATTTGAAAGGAAAGAAAAAGAATCCACTTAATTCAGAAAATAGCTAGCTGGCGACTCTCCAGCACTTGAAAGAAATAGGACTTTTACTCACAATATTGCTTTACACGTGACACACTTGTTGATGAACATAATTCCATCAGGACTCTGGAAAAGTTTGTTATCTTGGGGACAGAACAACTTTCCATTTTTCATCAGTGCCCTAAATCCACTGCATAGCTCCTATGGGAAAAACAAACAAAGTTGAATTAACTGAAACTTCATCTAAACAAGGTTTCCTTCTAAGAACTTTCTGGCCAGCCCATAATGTGGTGGTTAAGGAAGCTGGATCCCACATGGTCAACTGTGTAGTTTGGGTCCCAGACCCATTAACTTGAAAACCATGCCAGGAGCTTGTGTATAGGTGCTGAAAATCCTGATAGAAGAATAGAGAAGGGATTGTAGCATGGCCATCTCCATCCCACCCACCATCCCATGGATGTTCTCTCTCTCTCTCTTTCACAAGCACATGTGCCCTATAGCCAAAACAAACAAAAAAGACCTTCTTTAATCAGTATTAATTAGTGGCCACTATGTCTCTGACACAGAAGCCATTCAATCAGTTGACACAAATAACACAAACAAAAATAATATCTCTGGCTTGTCACAAATTTGTTTAAATGAGCATTCATTTGAAACAATTGGTGAAATGGAAAGAATAGGGGACTTGGAGTCAAAAAACTTGGACTCATTTTCTAGGGTTCTCATTTCTGACCTCAATACCCTTAGCAAAGTAACTTCTCAAAGACTAAGCTATTTGATATAAAATAGGGACTATACATATATACGTTTCATAGGGTTTATGAGGATTTAACATTATAAGTATGAAAAGTCCTCAAAGAATGCCTGATACATTGTAGTCAGTAAATAAATTCTTCTTTCCTCTTCCTCTTCCTGTATCATCATTTATTATGTTGGTGGCAGTGGTTGTCATTATTGTAATATGCTAACATGACACCCAAAATACTAGCATGCAGTAAGCCAATATTAATTGCTGCGAAAGGAATATAAAAAGGTTGTTGGAGGACTGAGACAAGGTAGATGAGTAGTGAAGACTATAAAGTGCTTTTGTCCACATTTCGCAAAGGGTATAGTGCAAAATAGTAGTACCTAAAAACGTTTGCAGTATTAAGTGAAAAAAAATCACAAAACATACAAAAAATAAATAATTCCTAGGTCATATATTTTTGGGAAACATATTTCTAGACTGATTCCTTTTCTTTTTATTTTTTATTTTTTGGAGAGGCTTTTTGCTATAGGGCGCGTGCGCTCACCAGACAGACAGAGAGAGACAGAGAGACAGAAAGTAGGAAATCACCCCCAAGGGGGATGGCCAGGTCGCAATCCCTTCTCCTCCATTCTCCTCTCGGGATCTTGGGCACGCACGCACACGCGCCCGGCGTGAGTTTAAGCCACCGGGTCTGGGACTCGAACCGCGGTCGACTACATGGGAGTCCAGTGACATAGCCATTATGCTAACTACTGGTCCCTAGACTGATTCCTTTTCAAGAAAAAAAAAAATGAGTGAACAAAATCTCATACTCTTTGCTATACCACATGCCTTTTGAGCATAGGCAGACTTACTTAAAAGTCAAAAAGTTTAAGATTCAGGATTCTTCTATATCACACCCTCCTTCCAGGGTCCTAGGAGACACCTAGCCATTTTGCATTTTTAAGTTTGTATTCTTTCCTTAAAATGTAGTCCCACTCCCACCCCAACTCTTGTTACTACCAAAGTCACCGACCCTATCACTACCACCAGAAATAAACTTTGTGACCTGTACAACTTTCTCAAAACTTGCACAAGCTTTATTTATTTATTTATTTTCTTCCTTTTTTCCTTTTCTTTTTTTTTTGGGAAAGGGGTGCATATCCTGTGGCACTATTACTTTTCTATTCTGTGTGACATCCTTGAAGACATGCTATGCTAGATTTAGTTTCTTTTCTTTTATTTTTTCCTCTTGTAAATGCCAGTATCTTTGCTGTTCCAAGATTTGGACAGAGAATGGAAGCTATTTTGAATAATATTGGGTTGTCGGGAAAATCATGACTCATTTTTGCATTAAAAAACTTAGAAAAATACATCCTGACTTTCCCAACAACCTAATAGAATTGGTGGAGAAATGAACAGTGGATTGATCTTTTAAAGTTAAGTTTCTTTCTTCCCATTCATCCACTAAGTGTGAAGACAAGGGACTTCTCATTAGTAATGATCATACGATGACCCCTCCTCCACCATCTTTCCCTCTTTTTGAGATTCTAGACACTCATGTGCATGTGCCCAGCATGTTTCTCAGGGCTCAGGGTCAAGAATTTGAGCTGTACACTTGAACAATGTGGAACCCAGCTGCCTAATCACCAGACTATGGAGCTTGCCTGATATTCTAAGTATATTTTATTGAAGGCCTGCATTCACTCTTTTCCAGGGGCTTAAAAATCAATGGATGTTGGAGACAGTGTGGGAAGAGGATGGGTGCAGGGGGAGAGTGTGAAAAAAGAAATTAAGGAGAAAAATAGAGAGGCAAGACATTTATGGGACACAGAAATGGATTATTATCTGTTGAAGATAAATATGTATCATATCCCCAATAGGACTGATGTGAAGTGTATTCATGTTGGATAAATTCGCTTTACAAACTAAATGACATACAGTGATTGAATGTATAACATAAATTAACATTTTTAAAAAATGGTGCTTGTGTGCTACCTAGTAAAACACTGATTTAAAAGGTATATTACCTTTTAGTTCAGAATACCCACTAGATTTTCAGGTCAAGCCTCTGGAATTGAAGGTTTTCAGTTTGTTTGCTTGCTTGCTTTTTTTGTTTTTGTTGTTTCAATTTAGCAAGGAAAAAAAAAACCTGCACCAATATGCTTGTATCATAATATAAATAAATAAATGAAGCCTTTATTCTAACTGTGACAAGCACATTCTCTTCTAAAGGATTGATTATAGAATTCTACTTAGCTTCCTATATCTTTTTATTTATTTAATTTTACTTATTATTATTATTTTTCAATTTGACCACAGAGAGATAGAGGGAGAGAGAAAGGGAAAGTGAGAAAACAAGCCACTAGGTCCAGGAATTGAACTGCAGTTGCAGGTGGGAGTCCATCACCTTAACCACCACGCCGCCTGCTGGCCCTTATATCTTTCTAATAATCATTCAATCGGCCAACAATAACCTTTTATGGGATTACCGTATTTTGTTAGGTGCCATGATACAGCAGTAAAGAAGGTAAATATGTCCTTATTGTCTAATAGCTGATGATAGGAATAAGAGGGCCTCTTGAACATGGTAGATAATTGGTAGCCCTTTCAGAATGAATAATGGTGAAGAATAACTAAATAGTATCAGCCACCAGCCATGGGAAAGTTTGCTAAGGATGATCTGCTAAAACATCTTTAAGATTATTACCTTTAGTCAGTGATCTTGTCAGCATGTCACAGAAGGAACACCTGGCCATAGATTAACAATTGAGCATCTTGTGATCTTTGGTCTCTGATTCTGTAGAATCTTAGGCCAACTTTGTAGTTACTTCTTAGCTTACTGGATACCACCTATGTTTAGAGTCCTAAAAGCCTTATAATAGCATCAAAGATGACACCGGTGTCTTCATGATAGAAGTGTATACCTGGATGGCAGGTCTTCCCGAAAGTATGTAGGAGAAAGTCTCATGATAATATTGGAATGAAGTTTTAAATAATTTTGAATGGTTAATCATACAGAATAGCACCAACCAGGATCACTCCTAAATTGGATTTCTCCAATGTCACAATTAGATGAAAGTTTAACTCCCAGAAAGATCCACTTTTCTTTCCAAACGGATATCAGAGGCTGAGAGAACAGGTGGATAAACTTAACTGAAGTGTTTAATTAGTTAAAACGAGACTAGGGCTGTATTTCTGCGTTATGAAATTACCCGGTGTATTCTCTTGGGAAATAAGAAAAGACCATAAAAGTTGAAAGCAGTAGTTGCTTTTTTTCTTTGGGGAAAATAGAAAATCTTCCTGTTTACCATAATAAAGAGAACTAAAACGGGAACAGATATAGACCAAAAGAAGTCATCCTGGAGTGAGGGGGGCTTTTCAACAACTGTTCACTTGTCCCCCAAATTGTTTTTGTTTTGTTTAGTTTTGTTATGGTTACTATTGTTTTTGTTTGTTTGTTTGTTTCTTTCTTTCTACACATTTCAGAAACCCTAGAGCCCTGTAGGACCAAATTCTTTCTGTTCTCTTCACTGGCTGTGGTCTAATCTGTTGTCTCCCATGCCCAGACTTATTAATAAAATTGTGCAAAGGCTGGCATCACCACATTTCAGTGTTAGGGCACTAACAAGTTTGTTAGACTTCATAATAACTCTGTGAGGACAAATTAAAGTGCATTCTTAAGATTCTTGCAAATTACTCCAGTGCTCTAAGTGCTTTCCTGGCTTGTGTGTATAACAGCCTGATGTTAAGTGCCAAAAAGAACCCAGGTTACCAAACTTGAACAATAACAGAAATTCTAGCACTTTAACAAAGAGTACACCAACAATTTCCATTCCTGGGCGAGGTGGTGGCACAGCAGTAACGCAACTGGATGCACATGGGAAAGGTTCTGGGTTCACATCCTGGGACCTCCATGAGCATTCTCAGAGTGCACATGTCCATGATCCAGGTCTGCCAAGGTTGGGGTGGATTGCAGCAGAAAGACCCTGCCTGTCTGTCTCTCTGTCTATCTCTTTATTTCCTGGAAGAAAGAAATAAGCAACCTCCAAAACATAGTTCTTCTTACTGGCACAACACCTGAAGACTAGTTAGAAAGGCTTCCAGAAAAATGACTACTTCTTTACATTCTTCTTGCCTCCTGTGCCAGTATAAGAAGTGAAATAGAATTTAATAGTATAAAAAAAAGAGTGTAAAATCTGTAATATCTACAGGAAATCCATCATTGTGGACTCTGAATAAGGAAAGAATGGTATTATGCACACTGAGATTCATACAATATCCTTCTGTCTTCCAGTATAAAATATCCGTCAACACGTTCTCTGGTTCCCAAATAACTGATCTTTTTTCCTACTCTACCATATTTTCTGGACCTCTCTTTTATCAGCACTGTTAGATGAAATAATAGAAAGTATAATGACATTTTCTAGAAAAGTCCTGTATGAAGTTATTTTTTTTAAGTTTTTTTTTTAATTTGAAAAAAGAAAAGATTGCAAAATTGTTACAATAAAACACAGCAGAAGAGTATCTATCTTAACTATGGTTGTAAGAATATTGGTTGGTACAGAGAAGAGTCATCTTACTTTTTTTATTGCTTTACTATTCAGAGACTTTGAAAGAAATAGCAAAATTTGCTATGTATCTAGCACTGTTTTTTGTTTCGAGTTTTGGGTATTTATTTATTTATTTCTTCCATGAGTGAGAGAGATAGAGAGACAAAGAGATGGAGAAAAGGAGAGACAGATAGAATCTTCACACCTCCATCCACCCCCAGCTTCAGTTGGCTCTGGATCATGAGCGTGTGCAGACCTGGCATGGTCAGAACCATCCCAGGTGGGTCAGCCTCCCAGGGTGTTGTGTTACTGCTGTACCACCAACCAAACCCACCTAGCACTATTTTAAGTGCTGAATTAATGGCATAAATAATAGTATGTGTGTGTATTTAAATGTATAAAACAAGTGTGTGTGGAAGCATATAATTGCCCTTTTAAATTTATCTCTTACATAGGGGGAAAAATTACTTCTCGAGAAAATTGTTCTTTTCTTTCTCAAAGAAAATATCTTGAGAGTTGGTAAAGCATCCTCCTGCATCAAGACCTCTGTAACTGCAGGAGTTTCTGCCTCATCTGTTAAAAGCTGCAGATAACCTCACAGCTCACTCCCTTCTTAATCTAATATTATTTTTTTTGAGGGAGAATATCCATGACTGCCCCAATGGGAATAAATATTACCTCCATTCCCAGGAATTCCTAGTTTCCATCCTGCTTTACATTTCCCCTAGCACTAACAACTATCTTATGTACTATACAACCTACTTATTAACTTATTTGTTTTATTCTACTAAAATATAAGTTTCAGAAGGGCAAGTTTTCTTTTCTTTTTTTTAAAGCTTCATCTTGAGGGCATGTATGCTCACCTGGACCTCTGGACCAGAGAGTCAGAGATACAGAGAGAAAGCAATGCCCCCAGGACAAGTTCATACTACAATTCCTTCTCTTCCATTTCTCCCTCCTTTCATGATTTGAGGCACACATGCACTAACAAACCAGCACGTTTCTCAAGTTACTGATTTAGGATTCAAACCACATAGTTGGCCATATAGGATCCAGCCACCTTAACTACCAGGCCACGGGCTGGCCCCAGAAGGACACGTTCTTGACACTTTGTTTACTTTAGAGTATCCTCAGCATCCAAAACAGAATCTGACACAAAATTAGTGCTTAATAGCTATTTATTGGATGAAATGTGTACAATGAGTATATAAAAGATACAGACAACTCTTTTGCAAAAACTATTATCAGAAAACTTATTTTAGCTTCTTACGTGGTGTAACATGGCTGGTACAGCTACTCAATGAAAGTTCACCGGTTGATTTACTTTTTGCTACTTATGGAATTTTAAAACATTTCTTCAGCATAGAGATTGCCTGTTGCAGACATCCATCATCGTTAAAATACTGAGTATGTGAGTGTGTGTGAGTATGTGAATATGTGAAAGAGATAGGTTTATGTCTTGATTCATAAAGACCAGTTTCTGTGTTCTTAACAAAGCTATTAGTACCTATGAGTGTAAAAATATTTATTATTAACGTGAAGGTGTTGGCCACAAACTATTTTTCTTTGGGGAATTTGGGATTAATTCAATGAACAAAAAAAGCAGGACTAACCTGATTTTCATCCTCACTGGCAGCATCTAGGGACAAAGATATAGAAAGCAAAGTTAAGGGAATGTAAAATATTTAATGAATAAAACAATTCACTCAGTGCAGTATCTTGCTTGTTTTAATGACGACTTGTTGTAAAACTATGAATTGCTTTTGAACACGTTACTTTTTGCCATGATCAATAAAATTAGAGCAGTGCACCAGGAGATTAGCATACACTCACAAAGGTCCAATTACTCGAGAAGGTCCAATTACTTTGAAAATTACTACTCATGCTCTTTCTTACTCTGTCAAAATAGCTAATATCTGAAAGATAATTTCAGAGTAAAGTATGGTAAGCTCCCTTTTAAAATGGTAACACAACATACATATCAAATATATCATACCAATTATAAGACAGTTTAGAAGTGTGATGCAACATAGTATGTATATCATATATTCACATAAAATTTAATTCTGGGGACCACCAGATGGAGTAATGGTGACATCGCTGGATTCCCACATAGTTGACCGTGTTTCCGAGTCCTGGACCCGGGGACTTGAAACTCATGCTGGGCACATATGTGTGCATGCCCAAGATCCCATAAGGAGAATGAAGAAGGGATTGTGGTGTGGTTATCTCCCCTGGGGGGTGATTTCTGGCTTTCTGTCTCTCTATCCTTTTGTCTCTCAGGCAAGTACACATGCCCAATAGCAAAAATTTCTATTAGAAAAATCAATTCTGGTAATCCTGCCTTCTGATTATAGCTACAAAAAGTAGAGATCAAGCAAAAGTTAACACTAATTAAATTCATAGACTATTATACTCTCTCATTAGCACTCTTTGGTACCTGTACACTCCTTTTAAGGAAGTGGCGTCATTCGTGTCTGATGCTCTCACTGACCATCTGAGGTGCTTTTTAAAAAAAGTTAATGCCTCAGAGCAGGAGTCATTTAGACAATCCACATCCCTTCAAAATCAAAGAGCAATTACAAAAACCTACCTTTAAGCTCAACAAAAGCCTCTCACTTTTAAAAAGAGATACTTTTAATCCACTTGGATTTCAAAAGTATATGTATAAGTTAAATATATGTATTTATATAATATACGTAGTATGAATTGATATGAAAGATGAAGAATCAATGAGCTTCTCAAAACTAATTTAAAATTAATGAAAGAATATCTCATGGATAAGGATTTAAATCATCTTAAAACTACTTGCCATTTCTACAATTAACAACATAGCTATAGACCATATAAATAAATCTTTAAAACTGTGTCTTACAAGATATTTAAGGATCATACATACATACATACATACATACATATTTTTCTGCAGGGTCTGGGGCTAGTAATGTCCCTTCCCCAGGGCTTTAAGGTGTGTAACAAGAGACTTAGGTTACATGCAAATTACTCACGTTGTATGAGGCAGAGAGCCAGGGTCAGAAGCATTGGCACTGTGGCTATCTTCATGTTGAAAATGATGTAAGTCGGTTATAAGTCTGTGCCGTGCATTGCTCAGCTGGTGCTCCAAGACTGAACTCCTGGAGATGCAGCTCACTTTATAAACAAGCCCTGGTGACACCCACATAAACCTGTTATTCAAGGTTGTGCTATACTTAATATACCATACCAATTTATTTTCAATCCTTTAGGATCTTGTCGTGGTGGCAGATTTGAACAGATAATGTCTATTTTTGAAGTGGTAATGTGTTTTCATGATACTTCCCCCAGAGGCAGTAGACTGAGTCCAAGGACCCTACTCAAAGTTAAATACCTCTAATTGTACAGAGCTCTGAACTTCTCAGCAACAGCAGACATACTACCTCATAGTGAAACATTTCTAACTGGGCTTCCTTCCTTAGTGGGAGGGGAAGATAAAAGAAGACACATTGGTTGCCCTACCAGTCAGTTAAAGATGTAAAGATTTCCAAATCTGGAGAAAGCTGCTTATGGTGAGAGAGCCTAGGGTTTCTGGTGTTTCCATCTATAGATTTTTACAAGTGTTGTAATTTATTGTCAGAAACTCATATATACATTAGAGTTGAATAACTAGATAACCAAACAAAATACCAACATTGAATACATGGGGAAATAAACACTCAGAAAAGGAGCCATGACTTTCTCCAAGAGCACATAGTTAATATGGAAGAGGCAGAGCAGGCACTCTTAATCAGACAGGTTCAGCATTCTTTCTACTTTTCACACCTTTTCACCCATATACATTGGCAAAGCAGAAACTTTGTGGAAAAAAAAAAAAAGCTTGTAAATAATTACTTTAAATTTTTTTCAGGCTGATAGATATTTTACATTGTAAAGCCTAATCTTATGGCTTAAAGCAAACATCATAGTAGATACTTAAGGTTTAACTTTCCATAATCCGCCACCACTCAAATTACTGTATAAAAAAAATTTGGCCCAGGACCAGCAGGTGGCATGGTGGTTAAGACACTGCATTCTCACATTGTCTGCTATGGTTCTAGTCTTGGACCTTGAGGCTTGCAAACACATGGGACACATGTACATGCATGCCCAAAATTCTGTGAGGAGAATGGGAAAGGGATTGTGTATGGCCATTCCCTTGAGGGGATGATTTCTCATTTTCCCTCTCTATTTCTCTCTGGAGAGTGTTTGTGTGGCAAAAAACAAACAAATAAACAAACAAGCAAAAATATACGGCCCAATCTGTTTTCTCCTAAATTATGTTTATTCCTGTACTACAGCAATTTTGGTCTCTCCCCCAAAATGAAAAGAAATCAACTATTAAAATTATAAAAATATATAAGTGTAATATTTTTATAGAAATTGTTTTTCCTTTTTCTCAATTCCTTCGAATCTTCAAGTGCTACCTTCAGTCTATAAGTTCATTTGCTCTACTAGCTTAAGAAAGCACCTGAAGATCCAGACAGAATTGACTATAGCAAGAGCCAGATGGTACTTCTCAGGGTTTCTACACCCACAAAAGAGAAGTTTTTGATTTTATGTGACCAAAGTTCTTTTCATGATTGTTTGAGAAAACTGATCAAGGTTGGTCAGCTTTAGAACCATACTAATATTCTGAGAACCATCAAAATGAGAGTACGTCCTTTTTCTTTCCACTCTCCCATTGACAAAATAATTTATTTCCTATAAAAGTACAATCTTTGGTTTCAAGATCTGCACTATTAGTCTAATTTTTTTTCTTTATGAATGATATATGTATACACACACGTAAGAACCTGTAAGAAAAAGGAGAGAAAGATGAGCACCATCCACAGGGTCTGGTCGCACTGTGATTCCCATCCTCCAGGTCACCAGCACATCAGATCTTGGACACTCATATGTGTGCCCAGCATAATTTAGACTGACCAGCCAGGCATTTGGATTATAGGCACCATGTGGGATCTGGCTACTCTCAAGCAGCATGTTACCTCCACACCATGGACTTAGTTTTGATACTTCCAGTGGTCAGAAATATCAATGACCACAAAGAGCAAGTTCAAATTATGTTATTGACACAGGCTAGAAAATCAGTCCATTATACCTTAATGGAAAGAAAATGGAATAGGGAGCCAGGAAATCTGTTTCTCTTCCTGTCTTTGGTCTTTGAGACTACACTGTATATTGGAAATGAACCTGACTTGGGGCAAAACACATCTGGGTCCAATCTTGACTCATCAATTATTAGCTGTTTTATCTTGGGTAGGCATTTATTTCCTCTGAGACTCAGTCTCCTAATGTGTAAAATGATGATAATAACATCTATGCTGCAGAATTACTGTAAACTTTAGTGTGTATATGATACTTATCACATATACTTGGTATCACATATACTTTGTATATATGAGAAGCTTTATAGTTAGTAATGGCTGGTCTTTCATTTTTATATCATTATATTAATGCAATTATAATAAATAATTTCTAAGATTTTAAAGAAAGTCAACATCTCTTGAATGTGCATAACAATGGATTTAACTTTACTCAGCATTTAACTTTACGCTTACCTCAACGCTTCTGAAGTGATGTTTAAATATAATGATACAGGGGCCAGTAAATGGCATGGTGGTTAAGGCATTGGACTCCCACAGGGCCAACCACAATTTGATTTTCAGACCTGGCAACTTGCTTCCTTACTTTCTCTCTGTCTCAATTTGGTGAACACATATACCTACAGCAAATTTAAAATAATTTTAAAGCAATAATAATAATCATAAATTTAAAAAATTAAATAATTCTAAAAAAATATATATATTTGTATTTATTTACCTTGTAAGTATATGCTAAACCCCAATACCTAAAATAAACCAAAGCATTAGCTGTTTAAAACTTATAAAATCATTGCTAAGTTTCAGTCATCATTGATTCTTTTTTCTATCTATAAAAGTCCATTCTAAATAGTGGCATACCAATACTAATTTTTTTTTCTTTTATCTGTCCTGTTAGACCATATAAAATGTGTCCCAACTATTTACTCTCCTACTGGTGGTAGGAAAGTTTAATACCCTATAACAGGACTGATGACTTGGAAAGAGCTCTGATGACCCCAAGTAAAACCCAAATAGACAGTATTCCTAGGAGTGGAAGTGAGGCTAGGAAGGAGCAAAGAACCAGATGACTGCCTCTCTAAAGAATCTCGGCTATGAGGAAACAATGAAGGAGTTGATTTCCTTCTTACTGGAAAAGAACTACTCACTTGACACACAGAGCCTACTGAATGATGAATAAGAGGTTTGGAAGTGATAACCTTTTTCAAAAGAAGGAGGTAGCCAAAAGAAGATTCAGCAAGCACCCCCAATAATGGAAGTCTATGTCAGCTGGCTTGCGTCATCAGGACTTTTTCTCCATTTCATTTCAGGAATGCTGAATATCCAGAAGTGATTCAGATATACTCTGATAATCATCCATTATTTCTAAAAAATACCATGGATATTAAATTCAAATGAATAGAACTGAAGCTTTGGAGAACTATGGCTTGGGTGAGATTTATCAGCACTTTTCTTAAGCTTAAATATTCATCTTCGTCCTCAGCTCTTTCAATTATTCATCAACCATGTAGAACCTTCTTTCCTCTCACTAGGAGAGGGGTTAGGTGATAAAAACTATCAACTTTACAGTCCTACACATTTATCAAGTAGCTCAGAATCAAACTCAGATGAAGGGTATTGACACAGAGGAAAGAGATGAAAATATGATAAAGTAAACAAGATTTTTGTAGACCAGTAATGTTATTAAAAAGAAAGATTATTTCCAAAATATGAAGTTCTTTTTCAGGATGCAGAGAGATCCTGATGGTGGGAATAGTTAACAAGTACAGTCCTTTACCATTAAGTTATCTTCCACAGCTTTCAAAACATTCTGCCACTGATTAGCTCTCTTTATTTGTTTATGCAATGTTGTGAGGTAGCAAGGCAAGCACTATTATAACCTTTCCTTACCTGTAAAAAGTGGTACCATTAAAATCCCTAAAGTAGAAATTGATTTGGTCATCCCAATCTTGATACTTTCTCACATTTACACACTTAGTTTCTCCGTGCCCCTGTGGCTACCTCATAGACTTTCATGCAATTTGAAGTCAATCCAGGCTTTACTTCATGGTGTTTTAAATCAGCTACAGCTTTCCACCACCAATGCAGTTCTTTCTTCTAACGCCCATTCTCACGGATGTACACACACCATACACCGTAATCACCCAGGCACAGAGAGATGTGCTGTGACCATGACTAGAGAATATATATCCTCATAGATTTTAGAAGATTAAGTAATTTTCCATTTTCTTAATGTTTAATTTGCTTCACTATAATTGTAACACATTTACCCCATCAATTCAACATCTATGTTGAATTATATAAGAAAGTATATGAAAAGTATGTGAAAGACACTAATTGGAAAAAAGCCTTAATCAGCCTTTACCTCCTTTTTATTCCGAAATGCTCCAATAACAACACCAGTACCTCCTCAATGACGATGCCTTTCTGTTTGTCTGGAAAGAGTATTAGCTATGAAGATAAGCATCCATTTAATCTAAAAATAGAATGAGATAGGCATTGTTTGTTTGCTGAGTATATAGACCCTGCTATATATAGATATAATTATTGTTTTTATTAGATTAAAATCAAGAAAACAGGAAATCTTTCAATGCCCAATTTTTAACTATTTAATTTTTACATATGGAATTATATCTAGCTCCTAAATACAATATTTAGGTTCCATCTAGAGTAGATATTATAATGAACCCCTGTAGCAGAGCCCCCAATTGTATATTGCTGAAAATAGAGTACATTCTACATCTTTGTAGGATTCAACCTGATGATAGAAAAACAGATTTGTGAAAACATTTCTTTAAAAAAATCAGTGAATTAATTCTGAAGTAACTAGTAGTATAATTTGGTACACTGAATTTTGGCAAAATAGCATATTCAATGTGTATAATATGTATTTGTATGTATATATAAGCAAGGGCAAAACCATTAGATTTATAAGCAAAAGTAGGAAAA